TAGGTCTACACTATGTCCAGCCTCTCCTGACATGAAGACTACATGAATTTTGAATGTTCTGCACACACACAAGATTTATTTTAATTGTTGGACATGACTGTTTATGTAAAGCAGCTTTTGTAACATCTAGCAGTATTTGTGTTAATTATTTTATTTCAAATCTCATTTTATTATTAGCTTTGTATCAATAATGTGTTTTTGTCTGCTCTTTTGATTGTTATGTAAGGCTAAACATCTTTTTTTTGTGTGTAAAAAAAAAATGTATCCTGACTAGTGTTGTGAACCATATGCAAGGCATTTCAGCATGAAGTAAACATAACCAAGCTTAGTCTAATAATATTAGTATATAGTATAGTTTATTATTAATTATGAGAGGCTTTGGATTTAAAACCATATTTGACATTTTTGCCAGCTTTATTTTTTAACACTTTTTTCTTTTTTTCTTTTTTTTTTTTTGTGAAAGAATTTTTTTGGCTGGCAGCTAACACTGCTAACTTACATAACCTGTAATTAAAAGCAACTTATGTGATTTTTGTTAATCTGTAATCATAGGGAATTTGTAAAACAGCATATAGCGACACCAAACTAAAGTGATTAACATTGTAAGTTATTTATATTCATATTATTATTTCCAGTTATCAAAACATTCAAGGGAAAATGTTTCAAGTCAAATATTAAATTCTGTTGCAGCTTTTTTGTTTAGAAGTTACTTTGACATAAGAGGTATATATACCTGAAAATGTCAATGATGTGTTTTGGCATTGTTTTAATATTATACTCCACACTGAACATGCTTGTAAAAACAGCAGTTGTTACGTTTTTGTATATGACAAAACTTGGGCTGTAAAAATGGTTTGTGTCCTTTATGTTCACAAAACATTAGAGCTGAATGAGCTCATGTTTCTACCTAATTGAAGAAGAAGCTTTATTTATTGTCATTGTAACACGCACAACGAAATTATGCTTGAAGCCGAGGGCCCCAGGCTGCTGCATGGATACACGCTGCCATCGGGGGGGGGGGTCAGTGTTTTGCCCAAGGACATGTCAACTGCAGGCACCGAGATTTGAACCTTCAACATTCCGGTTGGGAGACAACTGCTCTACCCACCACACCACTGTCGCCTCCCCAGTGAGTGTCCTGTCCCAGAGTGTAGCTGTGCAGTGGTTTCACAGTTCACTGAACATCATGTTCAAAGTTTGTTTTAATAAACACAGAACTATAACTTCTTGTTCCTCCTTTTTGTCTTTATGAAAGTCAGACACTGAATCGGCTCTTTGAGTGAGAATGGCCTAGCTGCTGCTGGTGCAAAAGAAAAGTCTAACTAGTTAGATTTTAGCTAACAATTGTAGTTATATGTTTTAATATGCACCACATACTGTACTGTAGCTAAAATATTGAGAGACTCTGTGCTCATTCCTGGCACAGTACGTTTATGTTGGTTTTTGAAGTATAAGCATTGTATTTCCTCAGGAACCAAACCTGATGCCTAATTCTTTTTTGTTCCAAAACTGAAGTTTCCAACAGGGTGAACACTGGGGTCGGTTGGTTTCTTCCTGTTTAAGCTGTTTACAGGATTGGTTTTTATGTTTTTTTAAACAGTTTTAGGTCAACTGTGAAACACTACAGGCTGTGGTCTGGTCTATGTGGAAACCACAGGCCCAGAAAACAATGAGCAAAAACAGGATTGATATGTGATATTATATATTTAAAAAATCATACCATTAGACATAAGCAAGAAAGTACACTTGCTGAAGAATATGGCAAACATACGCTTTTCACTGTGTGGAATCTGCACGTTGCTTCCCGTGTGTGTGTGGGCTTCCTTTGGGTCCCTTCCTCCGACACTGCAGTGACATGATATATAGTAGTATAGTATGTTATATAGTGGTACAACAGCCATAACAATCCAGTCTATTTGGTCTAGTAGTTTGCTGATTAGCTGATAGAACTAGAACTACAAAGAAGTGTTACAGTTTAAACACCCCAGCAATATCTAAGACGTTACAGTTTGGTCCACCTTGACCTTAGACTTTGCAGTGTAAAAGGTTACTGTATGTGAATAACCAAGTGTTTCTTCATTCCTAATGAGCAATTAGCAAAAGGTAGCCAGCTGCAGTTATATATGTTAATATAAACTGTTCAGTTCAGTTCATTTCAGTTCAGACAACCTTATTTATCCCACAAGGCCAATTCGATTTTGCAGGTTTGCAATCTACTCAACCATACACAGGCTCACATACAGTACAATCAACATTCACCCAGCACCAGTGTGTCAGGAACAGCAGGTCAGCACATGAGCTTCAGCATCAAAAAGTAGCCATTATAACTTTGGGGGGCATAATCAGATACTACTACTGTGAATTATGGTCCAGATATTTTGCAGCCCTTTATCAGAAGAAGCATTCCATTGTGAGGTCTGCTGGAGGATGATTTCCCACACCCTGGCAACCCATAAGTTGTTCTTATTAATGGATTTCAGCTGCTCTATAGAGCATCAGCAATTTTTTATATTTACAGTGATGTAGGGCTACTTATCTATACTTTTACTTATGAAAGATTTGGAATTCAGAACTTTTACTTATAATAGAGTGGTTTTGCATTCTATTGCTTCTAGTTATATTAGTGTAAAGGATCTGAATATTTTTCACCACGGCTTAGTTAAGTCATAGTGAAACCTGAATGGAGCAATAGCCGTAGGGAATCCAGCCTCCATAAAACCTGCGCTCGCAGTAGCAGCTCTATGTGTCGCAGAGCCGTGGTGGTGACTTAGAGGAACGCCCCCTCCTGGGCACGTTCCTGATGACTAGAATCACATGATCAGGCGTGTTTACACCTGCAGTCGGACACAGGAAACCTAGATAGAAAACGAGGCAGACAAGAAAGCAGATAAGAAGCAATGCTGTCGTGAGTGGTTGGAATTTAGTGACGCTCACTGCTAATTTGCCCTTGTTAGCAAGTGTGTGGTTTTCCTTCGGCGTGTTACGTGAGGACAGTTCCGTAGCAGCAGCTGCTAGTTAGCATGCTAATGTAACTGTCACATTAGCTCGCTGCTGCAGCATCACCGCCCAATCAGGTAATCATTAGACTGAAACACACAAATGCTTTACGTTAAGCACTTTAGTTGGCTATGTGTGCTTGCTTTCAATGTCATCTTTGTTCGTTAACGTTAAAAGTTAGCTACTCCGTAATTAGTCTGTTTGGCAGTGTTAATATCTAGCATTTAACACGAGCTAACGTTAGAGAAGTGCTTTGTAATGTTATATGTAGACTATAAATTATGTAGAAAGCAGAAACAACTATTTTAAAGTTTGCCTGAAAATAGTAAGGGCTCGATAACGATAATAATTGTAATGTCTCAGTATTTTCAGTGAAGGTGTCACCCACCCTCACCTGGCTGTCTGCTGCGGTTCTTTAAGTCAGTCATATGAAGGAGAGGAGCAATATAAAGCTGTTTTTAAATGCGCAGAAATATCTCCCCACTTGCCACGTAAAATAAAATATTATCGGTGAAAATAAAAATATGGCAGTCTGTGGAACACTTGGTTAAAATCTTTTACGTATCTACCTGTAATATTCTGCTTTTTAGCTCCAGAAGCCCCTGCTCATCTGTTCCCCACGAGGGAAGCTCGATCCTCACCCACAGGTTCCAGGAAGACACCCTTTCTTCTGTCCACCATGGACCAGACAGATGTGGAACGTAAGCTCTTCTTCTCCCTGTCAATTAGTTTTCATGTCTTCCTCTGTACAGCTATGGTTTGACTCGGTTCTGAAGGCTAAGCCGTGCATTTTTCTCATGCTTACAGGGAGTCAGTAGTTTAGCTGCACAGGTGTCACCATTTGTATTAATTCAGTTTCTCTATGCTTTTCTCCTTCTACTCACATATGTCTATGTTTTGTTGTGTTTTCCCTCAAGAGGTGACCCTAGCTCTGCTAGATGCAGCCACCGATAAAGACTCAGAGGTTCAGGAGCAGGTCAGGAAGTCTGTGTTAACCCTGGGGAAGCAACAGCCAGACCGAGTGTTAGCCATATGTCAGGACTACCTCCTGAATCATCCAAAGGTAAAACTCCAGAATACATTATGTTAAACAGCCACCGGAGTGTCAGGCAAAGGTCAAAAATGTACCTGTGTGACCTGAAACATCTGCTGTTATCAGTATTCGTACTGCACATTGCCCAGCAGAAAGAAAATAGCGCCTGTCATAAAATCCAGATGAATAGTACTGGGTGGCTGTGAATATGCTATGTGATCACACATGCAGAGTGGAGGCTGCAGGTGAGGTGCTCCATATTTTTAACATCTAATGTGCGAAAATGGATTTTATAGATGGTTTAACATTAAGCTGAATTGCAGCAAATGTTAAAAATAGGCACTTGCAGTATATGATGGAAATCTGTGTGACTTTATGAAAGCTTTGTCTTGACTTCAGTAACCCCAGCTAACAACAGACTGCTTAAATGGCCTCTCAGAGCTCCCAGCATGTGGTGTGTCAGCCTGTTTCACAGAGTAACAGAGTGCAACTCTGTATATTACTTCTAGAGGGTTCACACATGAACAAGATGTAAGCACTGCAATAAATAGTTGTATCTGCATTTCTGTTAAAGAGGGTTGACAGTCTCTTTTCTGTCAATGAATCAACTTAATGTGTCAGACCTGGTGATCACCACCAGTAACAGACACTCAATTTCTTTTAAATGTGTATACAGTACATTTTACATACATCTTCAGTATAAAGTGAGACATATCACCCAACCTTAATTTGCAGTATCTACACTGCTAACATTTTACATGCTCAAAGCAATAAAATACAATAAAATCATTCTGCATACAAAACAGAAAAACAATCACTACTGTAGATGTGTCTAAAGGAAAAAGTTTCCATGAATTATGTTCTTTGCCTGAACCTTTTTTGTTTTGTTTTGATTTTACTTTGCCAACATTTGCTCCCAATTTTCACCACAGAACTCAGAGGCAGTGTGTGTTTGTATGTCATGGTGCAACATTTTGCAATATTGTCACAGCCCTCAGACATGTGATTATCAGATGATGGCATCATTACAGTGAGGAAGTATCTTGGGAAACATCAGTGACATAGAATGTACATAGTAGGATGTCCCTTTTTATTGAGATGGTATTAACTGGGCTACACCATATTTTACTTGGCCTACAGTATTTTGAAAGGATACTGGTATTTTAAATTACATGACATGATATGTACGCTTTATTTGGTCATTAGTTTTTCTATTTTGTATTGATATTGTATTTCCAGTCTTTGTGCATGTGTGAGTCCTCTCCTACCTCTCTGACATCTCTTCTTCTTCTCTCATCTAGTTGGTAGTGAGTCACAGAGTTGTGATTCTCCAGACTATTGAGCTGGTAGTCGACTGCAAGATAGAGGAGATCAACTCCTCCAGGATAAAGAGCATCATTTCCCTGGCCTCAGATGAGATGACACGATCCAAGGTAAAATATGACACTTTAACTATTCTTTCGTTTTTGTGCAGTAGGCAGATTGATTCTTACTGATTTTTCTGTCTCCCTGGTTTACTCAGGAGGTCATCCCAGATTGGCAGCAGGCAGCTAGTAATATATTGGTTGCTGTGGGTAACAAGCACATCAATGACATTATGGAGGAGATATTAAGCAAATTTCAGCCAGGCATCCTACCTCACTTCTTTGTGGTCCAAACACTTGCCAACCTCTCTGACTCCAATGGTAGGACAAATATTTACACACACATCCCACATTTACCTTGTTAAGTCCAAAAGGGAGACACACACACACACACACACACACACACACGTACGCACTCCGAGAAATGACAACTTTGGCAAGTATTCAGACATTGTGGACAAAGTCACAACCTGTTAAGCCTGTCTTAAAACAACCTTTGTACGTGCAAAGGTTTTGTTAGATTATATCTCTTTACTAGCAGTTTCTTTTGATTTAGAAATTATAATAAGCTTTTTTTATGCAATAATTGTTTACTACTCACTCCTTCTGCAGTCAGGGACATCCAGAGCCACTGAACCAATCAAGACATTTGTAATCACTTGGCATGTAAAGCGTGATGTATGTCCAATCCTTTGTCCTGCTGCCAAAGTTGCTGCAGTGCACTCATTGAAAACACTACACTCTATTACATACATACTGCATGTGGATGAGGAGGAGAAACCTTCTTGCCACAACAGTTCAGACTGACACACTAGAGAAATGTTAAGAGCTAATAGGCTGCCAAACACATCTACATTAAGCTTGCTTTACCAAGTTTAATGCAGATCTCCATAGATAAAACATAGATTTCAGTCTGGCCTAAATATGAGAAAATACTGAATTAATGACTAATACTAAGTACCCTGGGTCGGGGCACCCTCGCCATTCTGTGTTGTCAGTCTCTGAGCAGCTGTCCTCTGTAGCCCCTGTACCTGTGTTTGGTTGTGGATTGCTATTGCATCACATAAAACTTTAGAGGAAGTACAAACTAAAGCTAGTTTTAGTAGCTGTAACTCGGTGACCATTACAGAGATGCATTGAAATTATATTTATTTTTATATGTAATGTGGTTTATGAATTTGTAATGTGTAAAGATAGTTTAATGAAACTGTCCTCCATGCTTTTCTTTTAACCTCTGTACATTGTCTCATGCTTACCACTGATATTATCAGTACCATAAAGGAGAACAGTCAATGTTTTCCTGCCTTACAGAGGAAATGATGAGGAATGATACACCATTAATGCTGTACTCTTCTCCTTGTTCTCTAGTTTACGGCATGGTGCCCTTCCTCAATGCAATTCTTGGCACCATGTTGCCCATGCTGAGCATGGCCAAACAGGACAACATGAAGTGGGTCTTTTCTTCTGGTGAGAACCTCTCAACTTCTTTTTTAAAACTGTCCTAACTCTTGAAACATTTCCTCAAGGTATTCAGCTCCAAAAACATTAAACTTCCAAAATTCATAGTTCTCCCTTTTACACATTTTTGGCCTTTTGTCATCACATTGTTTTCAACTCTCCCTGAATTCCTGTTTCTCTCCAGCCCTGTGTCATTTCAGTGACAGTATCTTGGAGTACCTGGCCAACCTGGACAAGGCTCCAGATCCCACAGTCAGGAAAGACACATTCTCCAGTGAAATCGGTGCTGCTTTTGACATCCTCTTCAATAACTGGTTACAAAGCAGGGAGTCTAAGGTAAGGTCACAGAGGTCAGCATTGGTGGTTAAGTCACATGTTTGATACTGTGACATCTCTTGCATTGTCTTGGAGATTGACCTGGCCATGCTCAGCAGGATTATCTGCTGTGGGAGGGTCACCCGTAGATTATACTAGATTATATTTGAGTCATGTGTTCAATATTGAGGGATGGTGAGTAAGTAGAGAAACTGAGGCCATTTAAAGCTTGGCATTTTAACTTTTAGATACAGAGGATAATGGCAGTCCAGAATGCTTTATTTTAAAAAGGCACTGCAGAATAACACCAAAATAATTTCACAAAAAAATGGGAAATCCTACCTAGACTTTTCTGGTGTCATTTTGTGTTCCCACATTTAATGAAACATGTTAACCATTAGCACCGTTATCTGCTGTAGCATGTTAAAGTACATTACCTGTATATTGTCTGTGGGATCCTATTAGCATAGCAACCACACAGTTTGTGCTTTGTGTTTGTATTAAGTCCATACTTAGTCAGGTTAACCGAGTCAGATT